ATAATTTATAAATTAATTTCTTAATTAGACATATCATATCTAATACTGATTATTTTTTTATTAAAAAATGGAAGTGACTTATTTTGTTATTTGAAAATACAGTAATCATTTTTTTAAAGTTATTTTAAATTCTAAGAATCTTTAATTCAATAATTATTGAAACCACTAGAGTTTAACAGTTATAAACTAGGAAAATAGATTTTCTATCATATTTATATTTTAATTAAAATAATTTCACTAAATAATCAATATATAACTAAAATATTTTGTATGAGTATCCCGTGTGGATTTGCTTTAACTTTTAGTAAAGGAAATATCAACTGGACAAAAATTAGTTTTTACAATTTTTCTATAAACTAAAATTTTAAAAATCACATGAAATTTCTTTTACAAACAATATTTTAATTTGAGGTTATTTATCCAAATATCAATAGTTACAAATTAAATGTGTTAGATTTTTCTTTTGTTTTATTCAGTGATCATATCATAATATTAAAATTCAATTTAATAATTACAAGTTTATACTTAACAAATTTATGTATTAGTATTAACGGTAACTATAATATTGAAAATAATCGTGGTTTGTGGTCAAAAATTTATATGTTGGCAACTGTAAACAACTATTAATATGAATAATAATATTATTTTTTCTGATTAATAAAGAAACAGTAAAATGATAATTGATATTTTAAAGTGAGCTATAAAAGAATAAAATTTAAAAAACAGAAGGGGTCGGTGTGTCATTACACAACCAAGTGTAGATATGGTATTGTTCATTTTTTATATTTACTTACTATATTTTGTTAACTAAAAAAAATATATTCGAAATTACACAGAAAAAAATATTGAAAATACATTTTTTTTAACAATAAACAAAATACATTATATAGCTTTTCTGTTTTGATGAGAAATCAATAAATATTAATTTATATTAATGTGTACAGTAATTAGATATAATGTAGTATTTTACTGAATTTAACATTAATCTCACGATAATTTTTACTAATTAAAATATCAATAAATCAATTTTATAAACAGATCCTTTAAATCTAGATAATGGTTTTTAACTTAAGTATGATGGTTAAATTTGCTGACATTTTAAATTCTCACATAAATATAAAATTGTGTTTCAAATTACAAAGTTTTTTCAAATATTTTTTATAGTCATATTTATAATTTATATAATAATAATTATGCTCTAATGGACATTACTATAATATATTTCTGACAAACACGCAACACATAATATAAATAAAATGCATTCACGCAAAATCATTTTTATGGTTTTTAAGTCAAAATAAAATCACCTACTCTAAAAGCTATGGATAATAATATTTTTGTGAATTTAACACATAATTTTATCTAGCTATTATTATCTAAAAATGAATTATCTATTTTCATTTACAAAACATTATTTTGAATTAGAATTTTAGGTATGCCAAATAAAAAATAAAATACAAAATTGATATGTCAAATCTTTAAAATATATTTATACTTCTAGTTATTGGTGATTTTACTCTTAAGATTACTTAAAAATCATTTAAAATTTGTCTTGTCTGTCGGGTGCATTGGAGAAAATACTTACTAAAAAATACATTGATTTTTTCAAGTGATAGAAAAGACAAATTAAAAAAAATTAATAAAATACTACTTAAATGAATTGACAAAAAAACCACAGGTATTTTATTACTTGACAATTAATTATGATGATTTTTATATCTTTTATACAACATATTATATTGATGTATGTAATTTAAGAAGTTGTGTCATATTAATTTATATTCAGTAAAATTTAATATAAATAAATCTTGTTAAAATAATTTAACTTGATTATCATTTCATACAATTAAAATTTAAATTAAATGTTTAGTACACATATATTTAATATATATTTTGTAGAAAAATGTTATAATTATATAAAGTTATATTGTTATTATTTTTTTAAATATCATACATTTCATGTGTATTTTAGAGTAGAAAATTCATATTATTTATCAAAGGGGCATCATTAGGTTTATTTTCATTTTTAATAGGTATTTTTTTATTATTTATACAATAACTGGTCATGAGATTATAAATTGCATTTTTTTTATGTTTGAATACAGCATTAAATAGATATTTTTTATAAATGTTGATCATTTTCAATAAAGATACTTAATTTGATATGTAAATAAATATACACATCATTCTGATTAAAATAAATGATAACTCACAAAAATAATGTAAACACTTTATTTTAATAATCAACTGATAAAATAAGAGTGAATTATTTTACAAAACATTAGCACTTTTTTAATCATTTTATTTAAATGTATATAATTTATTTTCTAATGTTGATGATGGATTGGACATATAGTATTTATCGAAGTAGGGTTTCAATTTTTCAATTAGATTAAATAGGAACTTTTTAATAAATTTGAGTTTCATATTTTAAAATTATTTTGGCTTTGAACTAAGGCTCTAAATTCTAAATTGAAAAGGTGTAGACACTTAAATCTTGTTTACTTAAATATTAATAATAACTGTTTAAAAATTATTTTATAATTATAAATTAAATTAAAATGTCATAAAAAGAAAATGTAGTCATTAATTACTTAAAAATAAAAATGTTTAAATGATTTAAATTTGAAATTAATTAACCAATAATTATACCTAGATTTTAATTTGTTTTTAGTGTATATTATATTAAAATAATTAATGAATATTCTACTATTAAGGTAACCATAATAACTTAGCTACTTAAAAATTACATATAATATTATATTTGATTTATTTATATTAAATATTGTATATTTAATTAATTTTAAATTTATAATGTATTTAACTGGATACTTTTTTGATTGATTATTGAAATTGTTCGTTACATTATGTTATGTTCAACTAAATTATAGAAACAAGATGATGTTTAAATTATTTTAATAATTTCATAAAGAGATTTTTGAGGTGCTTTTTAGTGAACAAAATGTAATAATAGCAAGAATAAAACTTGATTACAAAATAATATGCAGGTAAAATTAAAGAAAAAAGTATGCACTTAAAATTTAAGTTTATATCTAGAATAAATATATATTTTTATACTATCTGGGATAGTTTTATATTACATTTTTAAATTATAAAATTAATAATTATTTATGTAATATTTATATTGATATATCTAAGTTACTGTATTAAAAATAATTTTCATACAAATAGCAAAATATAAATGTATAAATTTTTTTTAAATTTTTATTATTTATCTGTAATCTAGGGTTTTAAAAATTTCAAATTTTATTGAAGTTTAAATTAAAATTAATTTAGCATTAATTATATTTTTTATGTATTACAAAGCAACTAATTAGTTTGATAGAAATAAAATGAGGGAACTAGATTAATAGTATAGTTAACTTTATTCGTACCAAGTATTAAAATACTTAAGTATAATTATCTAAGTTTTTGTATTAAATATCATATTAATTATAACTATTTTAATTATACATTGCAAATCTTCAAGTATTTTACCCTTTTTTTCATTTATAATATTCAAATTCTGAATTTTTAGTACTACCTAAGGAGTATTCCATATTGATATAAACGTTTGTTTTTAAAATGAGAACTCTATCTTTTTTACTAGATATTTTTAAGAAATAATAATGTGTCTAGTTTAAAATTTGAACAAGTAGTTTCTCGGTTATTAAAATTTTATTAATAAGGATAATAGTCCTTAAAAATGATGTTATAAAGGCAAAACAAATGTATCTAGGATATGATATTAATAACTAGATTTTTTAATCACCAGAGCCTACATATCTGCCAAATCCATTATAATTAACTTATTATCTTTAGTACACATAGTCAAAAACCTAAAAACTACTCGTTCATTCAAGTTATGACTGATTTTGATATATTTACATTTAATTATCGATTAATAATTTACCTAAAGGGAGGTTATCATTTGAAAAACAAAAGTTTTTATCTTCAAAGGAAATTTATTAAGTATTACAATAAATCTTAAGAATTTGAAAATACAGTTTTTAGATAAATTAAACATTAGAAAAACAGGTTTTTAAGTAACTGAATTATTTAGAGGGAAAAATGATGAAAATGCATGATAAATCACTTTATATATTCAAAATTACTAGAATAATAATTTAAAGTAATAATTAATTATAGCACTTATCAGCTTAAATATAATTATATTTTATTAATTTATAGAATAGGTATATTTTGAAAATAATTTGTGCTTTTATACATGCTTATATTAAAATGAGTATACATTAAATAAAATATTGTTAGTTTATTTATTAAGTATAATAAATAATTTTAATGGATAACTCAAGTAAAGGATAAAATATCAATAAATATTGACTACCTAAATGCAAATAAATATATATTTTAAATATTTCCATGTCTACTAGTCTACTATATTATTTTTTATTATTATGTGTATGGTCTAACCAATGTGTAGTATAATAATACAAATTATGTAAAAAAAAAAATAAAAAAAAATATGATTGTTAATATATAATAATCGAACAGTTTACCTTTAAATCTGGTAATGTAGTGCCGTTCACAGTTATTTTTCGTATTATATATATTACGCACTTGTCGAATAGATATTTTTCGTTTTTTTTTTTTTTTTTAATCCAAAACCGAATACGTACAGACAACCTCGTTGAACGTTTGATTATTAGTGACTGACGAGTGACGACTGTTATCATTTATGTTGTTATATTATTAAATTGTATTGTCATCGTGAACTACAGTGTTCACGTATGTCTGATTATTTTTCTAACTCAATACATTTGTTGTGTGATGGTAATTTAGTTTCAATTTAATTACCTAAGTTTTCATTTTCTATAACAAGTGCATTTTTCAATTATCCAATTTCATATCACCTTATTACTCTTAGAATTTTGGTGAAGAGTGTTGAAAATTTATTGGAATACAATTATAATTTTTGAGATAAAAAATATTGTATTTGTGTTTATCATCCATGGATCTGTTTTCGTAACTTGTTTTTCTAGGTTGGGTCTATGATTTTGCGTTTGTGATTTGTGTTAAGCATTTAGCAAGTAGGTTTTTTAATTTTTTCAATAATTTCAATTTTCAAGACTTAGCAGCATTTGTCACTGTTTGAAAATATGACATATTTTTACTACAATAATGTTCAAATATAATCATAGGTGATTGTCGTATTTATACGCCGCCAAGACCATGAGCTTTGGCGAAACTATTTTACGTAAATACGGCTGGACTCAAGGTAAACAAATAATTATTTTTTTCAGAAACACATGCAACTTCTAAAGAAATAAAATTGTTTTTATCCTGTTGTTTGTAACCATTCCTGATTTATATGTTTTACCAAAATATTAAGTACATTATACTTTGTCTTTTGTTAACGATGTGTTTGTACACTTGCTTGAAATCTGTCTATCGGTTCGAATCTTAGTGCATTTGCTACATTTGGCATTGTAAATTGATATTAATACACTAAATAAATGTTTATCATATTCTATGTCAAATAATTTGTGCTGGTGATCATTTATTAGTTTTCAACACTAGTCAATTATTTGGATCGTTTTTAGGCATGTATTTGGTAATTAATTAATCATGGTTGAACAGATACAAATTATTAATTCAAAAAAAGTATTTTAACATTTTTCCTTTGTTTGAATTATAATAGAGTGATGTATTTATAAAAAACTTTCTATACAAAATATGTTGTATCTTAAGATGCCCATGAATATCATATTGTTTACTATTTTATTAATCATTTAGATTATTGTGTTATAAGATTAATTTTCAATTATATGGTGAATATATTTTTGAGTATAATAATGTCTTACTTATACCTTAATGATTGTGGTATGGACATATTTATAATTAAATAAAACTATTATAAGGAATAAAATGTAATATATTCTATATCGAAACTTAATCTGTTGTTCAATCGAAGAAGTTTTGATAATATGTAATACTTCAAAAGTATTTAACTAACAATATATCAATGTTAAATTTAATAAATGGCTATTTATTTTGTACAATTTAATATGTGTATTTGGTATCATTTTCATTTGTTTCACTAATATAGTTATATATTTCATTTAAATCATATTAAGATGAGTAAATCTTATGAGTATGATAAAATTAATTTGAACATATGAGTTAATGTTATAGAATGATATTGCCAAGTATATTATTTTGAAAAATGAATTATATTATTATTAATATATTTTTAAATTTGTATTGCCGGTAAACATGGCTTGATAAATAAACGATAATATAATTTGATATTATAACAGTATAATAGAAGCATTATATTTTAAAAGTTAAAATAATTATTCCATAATATTAATATTTTTAGCTTTCCTTTGTATATTATTATTGTTATAAACATTATGTATTATATACTATGGATTTAGTATGCATTATTGGTACATAAATATTAGATTTTAAATTTTACCTAAAAATAAAACAAGGTTATTTGTTAATTCAATTTCATACAGACATCCTTATGTTTAAGAGCTAATCTTTAACCAATTATTCTAATTACTTATTAGTTTATACTTAATAAGAAATATTTATAATTATTGGTTTAGTATCATCTAAAATTACTTGTTAGTTTATAGTTTTAACTCTATTTTTAATTTATATTATATTTAATGTATTATGTTTTCAAAATTTGTTGTATAAATAATATCTTTCTTGATTTTTCATGCATTCAGTTGAGGAATAAATAAATAAAAATATAAACATGGTTATTGTTTATTTTGTAATCTTCATGTACTAATAGCCAATAGGAAACACAATGGGTAGTAAATATTATGCATTATTTAATTGCATTTATCTTTAGTTATGTATCATTTGGACTAACATATAGACTAATTGTGTTTAGGGTGGTGAGCGCCATGCATGAGGATCGTTGGTACTTCTCAAAAGAGCAGCTGGAGAATACACCCAGCAAACGATTTGGCATCGATGCTGATAAAGAGCTGTCATACCGACAGATTGCTGCCAACCTCATTCAAGAGATGGGCCAAAGGTTGCACACCACCCAACTGTGTATAAACACTGCCATTGTGTATATGCACCGTTTCTACATGTACCATCCTTTTACGCTATTTCATCGTAATGCAATAGCTACTGCATGTCTTTTTCTTGCTGCTAAGAATGAAGAACAACCAAGAAAATTGGAACATGTTCTCAAGGTTTCCATAATTTGTCTAAATAAACAACATGGTCATAATTTTCATCACATTGATAATAAATCTGAAGTTTATTTAGAGCAAGTACAAGACTTGTTAAAAAATGAAGAAACTTTGTTAAAAACTTTAGGTTTTGAAACAGCCATTGATCACCCTCATACTCACATAGTAAGATGTTGTCATTTGGTTAGAGCTAGCAAAGATCTCGCCCAGACAGCATATTTCATGGCATCCAATAGTCTACATTTAACCACCATGTGTGTCCAATATAAACCAACCATTGTTGCTTGCTTTTGTATACATTTAGCTTGCAAGTGGTCAAAATGGGAGTTAAAAGATAGTATGGAAGGAAAACCATGGTTTTGGTATGTAGATCAAAGTGTAACAACTGAACTGCTAGAACAATTAACTACAGAATTTTTAACAGTATTTGATAAGTGTCCATCACGCCTGAAAAAACGATTAATGGCTACTAATACAATGGACAAAAATGGAGCATTAGCAAATTATTGTTCTTCTCAACAAATGCAATCACCAACCCCTCCTTTGCCTTCTAATTATAAACATCAGGGTCATTCCCGAATGGTAAATGCCAGGCCTACGCCGTCCAAATTTTCTAATCCTATAGTCTTCCAACCTCCAACCAGAACTAATGGTGTTCCAAATGATCACAAATTTGTAATACCTGCTACTAGACCTGTTCCTACTAAAGAGCAGCCTACACCAATTGTTAATAAACCACTAGCACCAGTAAAACCTAAAGTTGAAATACCAACAACATTAAATAATAATAGTAAAAACGAAATTCTCCCACAAAGACCTAAATCAATACCTAAACCTCCAGAACAAGTTAATAAACAGGAAGTTATAATAAAACAAGAAATGGTTGTCAAACCTGAACCTATTCGAAATCAATTTTCTGCTAGCCGTGATAACCATTCTGAAGTTATAACGAGTGTGCTCAAAGAAATGACCAAGCATAATGATTTAAATATTTTATCTGTGATTAAATCTCCTCGAGAATCTCCACCCAAAGTTAAAAAACCTTCGATATTTAGTCCAGTACCTGAAGATGAACCACAAGATGTTAAACCTTTTATTATTAAATCTGAACCATCAGAAAATATTGTTATTAAATCTGAACCAATAGATGAAAGTTACAATAAATCTGAACCACTAATGGAAAGTTACAGTAAATCTGAACCATTAATGGAAACTTATATTAAATCCGAGCCAATGAGCCCTGAAACACTGGATATACCTAAATTTGATCCAGAGCTTTTGTTGAATCCTGTTGGTCCAACTGGTACTGTTGAAATGGACGGAGAAACTTGTAGTTCAAATACACATAAAAAGAAAAAGAAAAAACATAAAGAAGAAAAACGAGAAAAAAAGAAACATAAAAAAGATAAAAAACATAAGGATGGAGAACATAGACATCACAAGCATAAAGATAAACACAAAGAACCAGAACCTATTAGAATTACAATACCAAAAGAAAAAATTAAACAAATTCCACCTGTAGTTATAACTACACCACATTCTCCACCTAGAGGCATTAAGTTAAAAATTGCCAAAGAACGAATTGGAGGTAATGGTCCGGGGTCTGGAAGTAGTTTACGTATTAAAATCAGTAAAGATGACAGAGGATTAAAAAGGGATCATAGTCCAAATGAAACCACTCCAAAGAGAAATCGCAAAGAACGAAGAGATTCTGATTCTGGATTAGGTTTTAGTCAAAGTTAGTATTTATTGTTTGTAAACTAGAATCGAAACTATATATCATACATCATTATTTTTTTTGTTTTTATAACAAAACAGAGTGTTTGAATAAGTATTTTTCATTTGTTTTTTTTTTGTTTTATAAAAATGAATTTATAAATTGGAAAATGGAACAAAAAAAAAAAAAAAAACATTTTGCAAATACTTTTTCTCTTAGATAAATGTTTCGATTTCTGGTGTGTGTCGTTGTGCAATATAATAATAATATAATGCTCTTCCCGACACTTGATTTTATGTTTTCATTTTGTTGTTAACAATTTAAGTGCCTTTATTTTGTTTGGTCTTTTATTATTTTTATATACATAATAAGTCAAACATAATTCACTTAACGAGTAGACCTCCTAGTACTTACTCGTACACATAAATATTATAAATAGCTAATATCATCATCTCACACGTCAAGCTATAAACTATAATATTGATTTTGTGATAATTGACGGATATGCGTCAAACTTATTTGTACCACTACCATTGTAAATATTGTAATGTCGACTGAGTTAACAATCATAGAAAAAAAAATTATGGTTTTTAGGAATTTACATATTAAACATTGTATTTTGCAGAGCTCATAATATATACTTTTCTTTTTTTCCAAACTCCTTAAGACCTAAATGTTCAATATTCTAGTAAATAAATTTTTTTAAATTGTATATTTTGTATTTGTACTTGGTTATGTAATTATTTTTCTGCGTACATAAGTAAAAAAAAATGTTGTTAATAATGTACTTTTTTTTACTTAACATTTTTACTATCCTCAATTTCTTTTTGCATACCTAATTTTATAAGTTAATGTGTTTTAACAAAATTACAAAAAACAACAAAAAAAAGGTTCATTAATAATAATATGTGAATGTGTGACCCAATCAAATAAAATTATGAATATTAAGTACATCATAAATTTAAAAAAAAATTAGTTTGCTAAACCTATACCATTTAGCAACATATAGACATTAAAAGAAAGCTTTATGTTCTTGGTATAATCCCTGAACCTTGCTTTGAAATATTATATAAAAAAAATGTATCCAACATTATATATGATGCCAATCGATTAACCAATTATAACTATTGTTATTTATCTCATATGCACCAGTACATATAAACTTCAAAAATTAATGGAAGATCTACAAATTATATTGATGTATAGTGTGCTTACATTGAACCGATTGACAGTCAAGCAAATTTACACATTTAAGTACCAAATTATACCAAACAGCTTCTTTGTTCCATCGAAATAATGTGTTTTTTTCTGATTGATATCAAATGGTTAGGCAAGGGTCTAGGCAAAAATGAAGACGGGATTGCTGCTCCTGTCCGTGCAAGTCTAAAATTTGATCAAACTGGAGTTGGCTATGACACAGCTAATGCAGAATTGTATGGAGATAAATGGTGGACTCGTACTTACAATGATACTTCTAAAGGAATAGATGTCAAAAATAAAGTAATGACTAATGAATTCAATTTGATATAACATTTAAAATGTAAAAAAAAGTGAATAAAAAATAATAATAATAATGAATATTATTTAATAAATTTAGTATTTAATATTTCTAGATTATATTAAATACTAGATTTAATTTGATAAAATATTCTTTTTCAGAACGGAAATGTTATTTTTAAATCAAAAAAAAAAAAAACTAAGGTAATTTGTATTTATTATAATATGCATACCATATGCATGTGTAAAAGTATATCCTATATCTTTCGTGTAACATGATATTTAAAATGTTTTAATTAATAAATTGTTTTTGTTTAGAAAATTAAAGTCGAAGAAGTTAAGTCCACGTTTGAATTATCAGACGAACAGTTATTTCAAGCTTGTGGTGGGATTACTTGTCATAAGTATGTTAAAGACAAATATATTAAATAAATTTTATGTGAAAAAAATTGTGATAACTATAAACCCAATATTGTTTCAGAGCTGCTAGGCATGGATTTAATATGGATGGAAAATTGGCTAGATTACGTAAACAGGATGAGCAATTATTAGCCTCTCATGAAAAAAAAGAAAAAAACAGTGGCACGGAGAATAAAAATTATAAAAAGTAATTGTACTATTTTATGGAAAACTCTTTGTTTATAATTTTTAGACAAGAAACATAATTATACAAATAACATACACATAAATATCAAACATATATTTTTACTAAATGTACACAAAATTGAAATAATCGTATAAAAAAAATATAATAAATCAAGAACGTAATTATCAAAACAACATAATATTATACACATTGTTATATTACTATATTACACTATAAAATGGTCTTTATTATATTATGTTTCCTCTTAATTTTAATAATAATTACACATACAATTTGAGCTTGAGGAAAACGTTCAATGTTTGCCCTTACAATTAAATATGGCAATTTGTCACCTATTTTAACAATACTAGGCAAACTGAATATATCTGAGCAAATCAATAAGAATACAATTTACGCAAAAGTAAGCAAATTTTACTAACATTACATTTTTACTCGAAATAAATACTTATGAATAATTTGATTGGAATTATTATGATTGTGGTTGCGTTAATTTAGTTATATACACTGAACGCATCCTATTAATGGAACTTAAATCAAAAGTATCTATAAACGCTTAACTAAACAGTCGTCAATAATTATTTTAGTACGGCATATTCAATATTATTATAATTTATGTAAAGCGTACGTTTTTGATAAATTTATAATATAGGTAAGTTGTAAGTACAAGTTGTTACGGTTTGACAACGCGAGAATATTTTATGGTAAGTTTATAGTTCTATACAAAATAAATATAGTTAATTACAAAAGTACAAAACACGCGATTACGAGAAGAAAACTATGCAAGTAATTAAAAATAGGTATCAATATAGGTAATAATAATACATATAGGTACATAGGAGCCTACTACATGGGCTACGTACAAAACAAAATGATTAATAATATTAGCTAAAAATTGCACATTCCAATAGTCCCTCCCAATTGTAGCTACAACGCTTAAAATTCTCGACGCGTTTTGTCGGTAACTTGTATTTCAAATCGAAGATTTTCTAAATCAAATAAACGAGTTCGCGACTGGTAATCAAAAATTTTAACATTACACAGTTTTAACAGCAGTAATTTGTACAAATATCAAGAAATAGATTTTGTAAAATTTCTGAATCGCGCGCTCGATAGAGTCGCTTACTAAAGGTAAATCTATTTTTATAGAATACACGTGTTAACCATTTCGGTGGTTGTAAAATAAAAAGTTTTGAAATAGACGATAAGATAATATCTGGTGCTATACTGCGCCTTCTATATTTTTGTATTTACCAATCGCACTCAAAAACAATTGTTTATAAAAATCATGTTTAGTTATTGCCCGATGGGTACGACGATATTAGGTAAGGCACACGGTTAAATATGTGGATAATACTTGAATATTTTAATTATTTTAATTTATAAGAAAAATTAATTGTTTCATTTCACCCAATACTACAAATATAATGAGCAAACCGGTGATTAGCATCTGGTCTTTTTGACAACCAAGCTGTTATTTTTCTTTCATTACTATTATTATTACCGTTTATCTCGCGTAGGTGAATATATAAATTACCTTATCGGGGATTAGATATGACGTGTGTTATATACAAGAATCGACACCGTTCAGATTTTTGATGACAAAATGTTAACGCGTTTTATATCCTGTACTGTATGATTCTTTTACTCAAGAACATTTATTATTTCAAAAACGTTTTCCAAATTTTAAATATTTTTATTTTTGTTTGCATTAATTTAAATCGTTACAAAACAACATTTTTTTTTTTTTTAAGATTTTAATCTTTTGAATGATAACATGCATTAAAATCAAATTCCTGGAGAGTTGGCTTATTAGTTATTAAGTTATACTACTTAGACTTATGAACTATATTTTATAAGCTACTCGTCAACAATTTAATTTATAAGCATTGAATTATTTTCTCCAAAAAATACTCTCCTTTGGAATAAGAAATAAAATGTAGGTATGTTATCGTTCAAAACAGTTAAAACTTAAAAATGATAACTTTAAAAATATAGGAAAAATACATTATTTTTTGTTTCAAAAATGTTGCTTTGTAACATTAATGTTTTTTGAAATAACGATTGATCTCCCAACAAAAGAATCAATTTGTATAATATATTATGATGTTCCTATTACTAATATATTCAAATACAACATGTCGAGGATGATAGCTGTTGGGATGATTTCGCGTCGATGTAGTTTAAAACAAGTTGTCTCATACAATAATAATGGATATATGAAAAACAAAGTTCGTTGTGTATAGTTATAGGGTGGGATAGATGTATATATTATATACCTAGTCTTTATCTATATATAAATTTAATTTAGGTATATGTACAAAAACGATGTTATCACAGTGACCGCAGTTAAGGGGAAATAAGACTATTTAAATGTTGTCGTTGATTGGGGAGAGGGGAACCACGGGGACTAGACGCGATAATAACATCGCATTATTTATGTGATATCAGTATTGTACCGACTATCAAAGTTATAATATAGACATTAAAAATAAAATTTTACGACTGGGAGGAGGGTAGTCGATCACAGTTCAGTGGTGACCTCCACGTCTTTCCGGTTGAACGTTGTTAGCCCGTTGCCGTTGTGTATCGTGGGACGTCCGAACTCTTTCTTTTCTCGGAACATCACGTTGTCGTTGGTGGGACTGATGACAGCTGCAGTGGCTGCGGATTCGGCATCGTCCGCCGGGTCGAACGCCATGTTCGTCCTGCCGAACGTGCTGGTGCCACCATTCGCCATGCTACGGCCCATGCTCGATGTCCTGGCCGTGGTCGCCGCTTCCGAACTTACGGGACTGTGTCCGTCTGCGGATCAAATGATTGCAATATTATATTATATACCTAATGGAAATATTTTGCGATTTTTTACACGCGTTCCAATTCCGCTATGCAATAGAGGTAGAGGTATCTACTATCTATAGCTTAAAGGTATTTCCGATTTTCCAGCATGCTTATATTAATTGTTTATCGTCTATCACGACATCGATAATGCTATAATAATAATATAGTGTTATAATGTTATTATTGGTGTGCTATAAACCGTGTGTACAAATATGGATTATTATAATATCTCAGTCGACCATTGCTCGTCCAGACATTTGCATAATTTTGTTTTATGTTTTTTTTTTATATTTTTTTCTCTCGTTGCCATTTTAGACACAACAAAGTATTTTTCCACGAAATTACGATAGTTTTTGTATAATTCGCAATTTTATTGGAGAAAAAACACATTGAAATTCGTACACTATTATACGTGATAAGTAAAATATTACAGAATTATCTGCATTCAGAAGCATTTTAATTTTATTTGTTGTCTCGTAATTTCACGATAAATTTAAAGTTGTCTTACGAAAAGTATATTTTTTTTTACACGTATTTTTCGAATACCTACCACAATTTTATAAAACCTGACATCCTCGTAACAATTTAGGTCATACAATTCGGACACGAGCATGCATATTAAAATAACTAGTTTGGTGACTATTGTTTTCTTGAAAAAATATTTACATGGGTGACTACTGTCTAGTTCTTAGGGGCGGTGGTTATGTACATTAATAATCGGCAACCGCAGTCAATTGACAATTGAGAATAAAAATAGAAAAAAATACGGGTTAGCACTTGCTAACGTTTTTGGCCTTGTTATAGTATATTAATATTAGAATCATGATAATTGATTTCATTGTTGTATGGCGGGGGGGAGTGTCATGAGATTTTATTCTCATATCGTCCCGTTTGAAACTTAAGCACTTATTAATTGTTTTACGTAGAATAAGTATTATTATATAATGTTATTACCGATGCTGTCGACGTTTTCTTTGGTAATGTACCCGACATTGTCCATATTGAACGTGTGATTTTTGCGACTAAAATCCAACTGCAAGTCGTTGTAGCTATCGTTGTCATCGATCGGTACGCTCATTTGCAGCACCTGTGCAAAAAAGACCGTCGGTCAAGGTTATTTTATCGATCGTGTGTCGGCGCGTAGTCTTAACCCAAATCTTACCTGTACCTCGTATTCTTTCATGTTCGGCTCGATGAACACCGGGTCATACCGTTGCGTCACGTACATCCGGGCCATCCTTTCCTTATACGCCTTGTACCTGACAAAACGAACAGACAAACGCGTTTATTACATGTTTACATATTTGTGTAGTATAGGTATATTACACTGTTGTACTGCAGGACAAATGTAAATTAGACCCGATCATTTTTACCGATGCAACATGATGAGCTTTATAAATAATTTAATTTGTAAATAATAAATAACACGAGTATAGGTAGAAATAACCTTCTATACACTTGTGAAAAATTTGAAAAGTATAGATTTTGGAGGATAATAAGTATCACGGGGTAATGCAAAATGAACAAATGATACTGAAAAATATTATACTCAATTGTTACTTAAATTAAGTATGTAAAGACCAGGATATTTTTTTCATTAGAACAATTTTTATCAAAAAAAAAAAAAAAAATTGGGGCCGAATTTACAATCGTCCATCGTACTATTATTATTATTATTATTATTATGCACGCTACAAAGCGAGCCGTCTCGTTTTTCCTTGTCGGTACCTACTCGGTAACGTGAGAAAACGCGGTGACCCGCCGTGCTGTATACCTTAATGTACAAGTGGGTATAAGTCACGCGTTATAACTTATAGCCAACGGCCGAGAGTTCAGTCTTACCTCGACCACGACACGCAGATGTAAATTATACCGGCGATGCCCAACACCAGGATCAGGGCCGCCATGAGGATCAGAGTATATGGAAACACGGTCCATTGGATGGTTACGCCCGCGGTATGGGTCCGAGTGACGACGTTCTGCTGTTGCAGCGGCAAATGGATATCTGATGCGATAATTGACAGTTTCTCGGCGATCGTCGTTGTAATGTTACCGACGGAATCTTTGTTCAGTATCGACCTGCGTGGTTAGAAAAAACAAAACACGAAACGTCAATTTACACGTTTATTACTAATATTATATGCGTGTAACAGTGTCATCGCATAATAATACACTAGACGGCGGAAACC